AAAAAAAAGAAAGAAAATCATTAGCTGTCAATACTTAAAAATTAGCAAATTTCTACAGGAGACACGCCTTCATGCATCCAGCACAGACATCAGCTGACTCGAAGTAGGTAGTGGTCCTGCCCTCTGCAGGTGAGGAATCTGATCTCTCCAGGGAGTGCTAGTCCTTACCACTGCCCACACCAGTCTGCTCTACTCCTCCTACAATTCCCTGCTTGGCCCCATCAACATTTACACCAGCAATTCCCCATTTCCTAACAACTAGGAAAGACTACCAATCGCACGAACATACTTTAAAACTGACAGTAACATGACTATTAAACTTGAAGTCAGCTGGGTGCAATGGCTCACAACTGCAATCCCAGCGCTTCAGGAGGCAGGAGGAATGCTTGAGGCCAGGAGCTTGAGACCAGTCTGGACAAAACAGCAAGAATCCACCTCTATAAAAAGTTTTAAAAAGCATTAGCCAGGTGTGGTGGTGAACACCTGTAACGAGTCATGATCATGCAACTACATGCTAGCCTGGGCAACAGAGGGACCCTCTTAAACAGAAAGAAAGAAACTTGCCAGGCATGGTGGCTCATGCCTGTAATCCCAGCTACTTGATGGCTAAAGCATAAGAATCGCTTGAACCTGGAAGGCAGACGGTACAGTGAGCCAAGATTGCACCAATGCATTACAGCTTGGATGACAGGGTGAGACTATGTCTCAAAAAATTTTTTTTAGCAAGGCATGGTAGCATACACCTAGAGTCCAGCTACTCAGGGGGCTGAGGTGAGAAGACTGCTTGAGCCCAGGGGGACGAGGTTGCAGTGAGCTATGATCAAAACAACGGTACCCAACCCGGGCAAACAGAGACCCTGTCTCAAAAAAAAAAAAAAAAAAAAAAAGAACAAAGAAAACCCCAAACTTGAAGTCAGTTGTTGCTTCATTGAAAGAACACTTACAGAAAGCTTGTCTGGGTTGATCCAGTTGTTTTCAGGAAACTGCACATCAAACTTTATGTAAAGATCACCTTTTTCAAAGGGATTACGATACTGCGGCATCCCTTCACCTCGAACTACCCGAACACATCCTATTAAGAGGAAATGATTAATAATTTTACCCAAAAGAAGTGTACAATTTTTTGAGTTATGCAGTATAAAAAAATTACAAATTGTAAGAACACCTGAAAACCAGAATCAGACCAAAATCATGATTTACCTGGTTCAATTACTTTGCCAGGGGGATATTTCACCACAATCTGACGGCCATCAAGGTGCTTAAATGTGAACTGAAATCCACACAGAGCTTCAACAAGTCCTATTTTATATGTCATATGCAAATCATTCCCATCTCTCTGAAATACCTATAAAGCACAAAAGAAACACAGTTTTCCAAAAATTATGGAGCTATACCCTATGGCATTATGTTCCTCGACTTAATTTCAAAACCTTGTTTCTACCACTCACTGCAAAACAAAAGTGCTACTGTCCCTAGTGCCCTAAACTTATATTAGGAAAGCTAGCTATTCCCAAGTAGTATGCGAGAAACTTCCATGAGGAAGGTGTATTGAAACTGGTAAACAATGGCATATATAAAAGCAACAGACCTGAAGTTCCCAAAACAGGGCCAGGTGCAATTATGGCCCACTTTTGGACTCTGCCTCTGGACAAAAAGCTACAGAAAGCCCAGAAGGCTTCTGCAGAACAGGCTCATCATGAGTGCTCCCCAGACATGATCACAACAGAGAAGGGGGGAGGGTCCAAGGTTAACATAAAAAACCTCAACCAGCAACACCCAGCCAGCAAAGTCAAGGGGCTCAATTCCATGCTTCACACATGTACCAACAAGCCTCACACCTCACTAAAATGCAAAACTTGGCTCATTCAATATTACACTAAAAGCCTATGAACTAGGTAATGCAAAAGGTATTGAGAATAAGCACAAAGAATGTTTCTGAGTCTTCAATGTGTAGGAAAAATACACACAATTTCACATGCCCAACCTGCAATTTTTGCTTAGATTTTACAATGGTTGCTCTTCTTGTAAAGAACAATCCTGGCTGGTTCACTTATAGAAAATCTGGTAGACAGGTTATTTTCCTATGTTATTCCCTTAAATTTACCCATCAAACAAAGTTACACTATTACCTTAACCAATGATTCTCTGAGTGTGGTTCTAGACCAGCTGCTTGAGGAAACTTGTTAGGAAAACAGATTCTTGGGCCCCACTCCATTCCTGCCAGAAACAAGGAAGGCAGGGCCCAGCAATCTGTAGTCCTAACAAGCCCTCCAAGCAATTATAGTGTAGGCTAAAGTTTGAGATCCAAGAGTGTATATTATCCATGCACATTTATTCAAGTGTTCCTCACAATGGGACCAATAGTTTCTTTAATGCAGGACTTTTCAATGCATTAAAATTGCTAAGTAGGTCAGGTGCTGGTGGCTCACACGTGTAATCCCAGCACTGTGGGAGGCCAAGGCAGGTGGATCACCTGAGGTCAGGTCAGGAATTGAGACTAGACTGGCCAATATGGTGAAACCCCGTTTTTACTAAAAATACAAAAATTAGCCTTCTGTAGTCCCAGCTACTCAGGAGACTGAGGGAGGAGAATCACTTGAACCCAGGAGGTAGAGGTTGCACTGAGCAGAGATTGCGCCACTGGACTCTATCCAGCCTGGGCAATAGAGCAAGATTCCGTCTCAAAAAAATAAATAAATAAAAGCTAAGTATAGGGTCAGAGTTTTGGGAGACCAGGTCAAATGCAACATAGGGAGACAAAAAAATTAAAACATAAAATAGGCCAGCTGAGGCAGGACTATTCCTTGAGTCCAGAGTGGAGGCTGCAGTGGTAGTCCCTCCTTATTAATGATCCAGCCACTGTGATCCAGCCACTGCATTCCAGCCTGGGTGACAAAAGGAGACCCTGTATCTTAAAAATAATAAATTTAAAATAAAATGCTAAGTATTCTATAGAATGCCAGTGTTCCAAGAACCGTCTTACCAAATATCCTTTGTTAAAGTCATATTAGAAATAGGGACCAGGGCTGGGCATGGTGGCTCACGCCTGTAATCCCAACACTTTGAACCCAGGAGGCGGAGGCTGCAGTGACTGGAGATCATGCCACTGCACTCCAGCCCAGGGTGACACAGCGAGATTGTCCATAAATAAATAAAAGTGAAGTAGGGGCCGAGCATGGTGGCTCACGCTTATAATCCCAGCACTTTGGGAGGCTGAGGCAGGCAGATCACTTGAGGTCAGAGTTTGAGACCAGCCTGGCCAACATGGTGAAATCCTGTCTCTACTAAAAATACAATTGTGCCACTGCACTCCAGCCTGGGCGACAGGACAAGACTGTCTGAAGAGAAAAAAAAAAAAAAAAAAAAAAGATGTAGGGAACAAGAAGAGATACATATTATGTTCTTATACATGAGAGTTCAACTGAAAGTGATTTCAATAAAAAATGATTATCAGAACGATTGTTGCTATGGCGGGGGGTAAGCTAAACAATTTGATGTTAAAAGGTTAAACAGAATAAACGAGCAAGAACGCCAGAGAGTTCTCACTATAAGATCTGGCCAAAAATAAATAAATAAATACATCAGAACAACAACAACAAAAGGCCAGAGAGTTTCTGAAAAACAAGATTAATGAGGAGGGACCACCAAGCACTAGAACATAAAACATTTAAAAGTTACAATTTCTGAATAACAAAAGTACAGATTATAGAGGCGTGACTAACATCACCAGGTTCTGTGGTTTGGTGCTGTATAAATGCACTATGGTAACCAGACCACTGAGACACACAACAGTCATACTGCTAAGTGACATGGCAAGATAATGACTACAGATGATACAGCACTCCCAAGAAAGAACTAAGACAAATTTCCATTTACCACCTTGTATTTTCTACCTTAGACAACCAGTTACACCTGCCTTCTGTTGAAAATTCCTTGCCAATTCCACTGCTGCCAACAATTTTAAGAGATTACTTACTTCCCAACACCTCCCCACAACCCTAAGAAGCTTATTCATAATCTCATTTGAATCTTTAATATCTGAAAAGTCCAGAGAAGCTGAAGCTAGTAAATGGGGACCAGACGTTAAGTCCTTTGCCTCCAAATCCAATGATACACTTTTAAAAACCCAATTTAATTATGCAGCAACATTAAAAACTAAATGTAGAGGTAAAAAAGGTTTTACCTTCAGTTTGATATGCCCCGAACCAAAATAATCATCTTTTGTCTGCAAATAACCATTCCTTCTTCACTTCCTCACTATTATGCTGCTGCACTGCCAAAAATCATTTGACAACGAACTCCAAACTACTTCAAGGACTCTATCAATGAAAATGCCCAGGCAGCGTGGTGGCTCCCAGCACTTTGGGAGACCGATGTGGGCAGATCAAAGGTCAGGAGTTCCAGACCAGCCTGGCCAACAGAGTGAAACCCTGTCTCTAATAAAAATGCAATTATTAGCTGGGTGTGGTGGCAGGTGCCTGTAATCTCAGCTACTTGAGAGGCTGAAGGAGGAGAATCGCTTGAACCCAGGAGGTGGAGGTTGCAGTGAGCTGGCATCGCACCATTGCACTCCAGCCTGAGCAACAGAGTGAGACTTTATCTCAAAGAAAATGCCCAGGCATTGTTTGTACCATTTTACAATACAGTCTAACCTACCTAACCGTACATCCAAGCAGAATTACCAATTACTTAGCGTCTTGTTATTTTTCTCCCTCATATTCCTGGTATGGTGGTGTACACAGTAGCAAGACTGAATGAACAAGGAAGTAGCTAAAATGTCAACAAACAGGAAATCTTGTAAATACTTGATCCTACAAGACCCAAAAGCAAAATTCTAAAAACTACTCTTATTTTTTGGCAACCTAGGAGACCTTTGCTATTTGTAGAGTTGGCAATTTCCACAAAAAACCAAAATACATAATTTGTAGCTTTGCTGAGTCATGAAAGTTGACTAGCATGCCCTGACTGTCCAGGAGATCAAGCCTGACTTTGTGAGGGATTACAACCAAATTCCTAAAATCTGCATCTCAATATGGCTTTATTGTTCTCTACTGGAGTCTTACAGTGATTTTAAAAATTTACTCTATTTGGAGAAATGACCACCACAGAAAATATAACCTTTAAATTATAAAGGAACAAATAAGGCCAGGCGCAGTGGCTCACGCCTCTAATCCCAATACTTTGGGAGGCTGAGGTGGGTGCATCACCTGAGGTCAGGAGTTCGAAAGCCAAGTTGGCCAACATGGTGAAACCTTGTCTCTACTAAAAAATGCCAAAAACTGGCCGGGTGTGGTAGCAGATGCCTGTAATCCCAGCTACTGAGGAGGTTGAGACAGGAGAATTGCTTGAAGCTGGGAGGTGGAGGTTGCAGTAAGCCGAGATCGTGCCACTGCATTCCAACCTGGGCAACAAGAGTGAAACTCCATCTCAATAAATAAATAAAGGAACAAATAATCAGCTTACCCATCTTTTTTTTTGAGATGGAATCTTGCTCTATCACCCAGACTGGAGTGCAATGGTGCGACCTTGGCTCACTGCAACCTCCTCCTCACAGGTTCAAGCAATTCTCCCGCCTCAGCCTCCCTGGTAGCTGGAATTACAGGCACCAGACACCGTGCCTAGCTAATTTTTGTATTTTTAGTAGAAACGGGGTTTCACTGTCTTGGCCAGGCTGGTCTTGAACTCCTGACCTTGTGATCCACCTGCCTCGGCCTCCCAAAGTGCTGGGATTACATATGTGATACATCACCCCCAACCTGCCCATCTTTTTAGAAAATTAAAAAGAGTAGGCCGGGCGCAGTGGCTCACACCTGTAATTCCAGCACTTTGAGAGGCCAAGACAGGTGGATCACCAGGTCAGGAGGTTAAGACCAACCTGGCCAAGATGGTGAAACTCTGTCCTTACTAAAAATACAAAAAAAAAATTAGCTGGGCATGGTGGCAGGCACCTGTAATCCCAGCTGCTCGCGACACTGAGGTGGAGAACTGCTTGAACCCGGGAGGCAGAGGTTACAGTGAGCTGAGATCGCAGCACTGCACTCCAGCCTGGGTGACAGAGACTCTGCCTCAAAAAAAAAAAAAAAAAAAGAGTAACCTGTCACTGAGCATAATACAAATTTACCATTTCTCCATGTTCATTGGGCTTATACATAGGAGAAAATTTTAGGGCAAACTAAAAAGGTGGTTAACCTGTGAGGTAAAGACTTTCAGAGGAAAGCATAAGTAAATGTGATCAAGAACAAAACCAGAGTCCTGTCAGGTGCTTCTAACATTCAACAATTTCGATGATTACTGAAAGGTTTTTTCATAAATAGTCCCAGATATAATGTTTATGAGTAAGGTCCACGGTATACTATATGGACATTAAAAATATACAGGTGCAATGTTAAAATCAAAACATACACTAGGCCTGGCATGGTGGCTCACGCCTGTAATCTCAGCACTTTGGAAGGTCAAGGCAGGAAGATGGCTTGAGCTGAGGAGCTCAAGACCAGCCTGGGCAATATGGCAAGACCCTGTCTCTACAGGCATGGTGGTGCGCCAGTTGTCCCAGCTATTCAGGAGGCTGAGATGGGAGGATCACTTGGGCCCAGAGGTGAAGATTATAGTGATCCCAGATCATGCCACTGTCTAACCTGGGTGACTGAGCAATACCCTGTCTCAAAAACAAAACCCCCAAAAACATACGCTAGAGACCACATTCTTCAGAAACGTCTAAAAAAATGTTATTGTCCTGGCGTGGTGGCTCACGCCTGTAATCCCAGCACTTTGGGAGGCCGAGGCAGGCAGATCACGAGGTCAAGAGATCGAGACCGTCCTGGCCAACATGGTGAAACCCTGTCTCTACTAAAAAATACAAAAATTAGCCGGGCGTGGTGGTGTACGTCTGTAGTCCCAGCTACTAGGGGGGGCTGAGGCAGGACAATTGCTTGAACCCAGGAGGCGGAGATTGCAGTGAGCTGAGATTGCGCCACTGTACTCCATCCAGCCTGGCGACTGGCGACAGAGCCAGACAAAAAAAAAAAAAAGACCAAACCAGGACTAAAACTGACTCCTACAGTGCTTCTAACTGTGCCTGCCTCGTTAGTCTTTCTTACACAAGCCAGTCTTACGAAGTTGGCCATGTTGCTCCAGGGACTCCAAACAGATCTAACCTATTTCTCACAAGCAAGAAGTACTTCTGAATAAAACAAAATACAAAACCAAAACAAACTAAAAAACAGGTAAAATCACCTCATGTTCTTTCTCCTGTAGCAACAGAACAATGTCTCCTGGTTCCACTCCTGGGGCCTGGTCTGCTTCCCCAGTAAATGTAATTCTCTGTCCATGTTTCATGCCTTTGTCTACGTGGACTTCAAGAATCTTGACTTCTTTAATCACCTTCTTCCCTTCACATTTTTTACAGCGGTCTTTTTCATTAATTACCTCACCTGGAAAGAGAAGTCATTGAAACTTTCAGCAACAGTATTATACTGCACTTTTAATATTCTTACTATTTAAATATACTTTCTGAACTTATTTTAATTGCTACCTAAGTTTTTATTCAAAGCAACATTCTGAGGCCGAGCATAGTGGCTCAAGCCTGTAATCCCAACATTTTGCGAGGTCAGCGTGTTAGGATCACTTGAGCTCAGGATCTGAGACCAGCCTGGCAACAGTGAGACCTTGCCTCTACTACAAATAAAAAAAAAATTAGCTGGGCGTGGTAGTACACGCCTGTAATCCTGGTTACTAGGGAGGCTGAGGGGGGAGGAGCGCTGGAGTCTGACATTGCAGTGAGTTATAATCACGCCAATGCACCCCAGTCTGGGTGAGTGTGAGACCATGTCTCAAAACAAAACAAAACAGAAAAGCACTATTCTGAATAACAAAAACTTACATCTTACTACTGCAGATTACCTGAGGGACTCAGCGACCCACTATTTCAGAATGTAATGTATCCATACCATGTTTAGGGCAACATAGCTTTTCTCTTCCACATATTCTTCTGAAATATTTGATTATGGTGTAGAAAAGCAAAACTGTCATTTTACATAGTGGGAAAAAATTGTGTCACTTTCTAATGGCTAATTACTGGCACATTTGAAGGCTTAGGAAGATATGTATAACTGATTATTAAGGGACTGTTTCTGTAACAGTACTTATATTCTTCAAAACACTGGTTCTTCAAAATGGTAATGGCGGCCGGGCATGGTGGCTCACACCAGTAATCCCAGTACTTTGGGAGATGGAGGTGGGCAGATCGCCTGAGGTCAGTTTTGAGACCAGCTTGGCCAACATGGCAAAACCCTGTCTTCACTAAAAATACAAAAATTAGCTGGGCGTGGTGGTATGTGCCTGTAAACCCAGCTACTTAGGAAGCTGAGGCAGGAGAATCACTTGATTCCGGGAGGCGGAGACTGTGGTGAGCTGAGATCGTGCCACTCCATTCCAGCCTGGGAGACAGAGCGAGACTGTCTCAGAGAAAAAAAAAAGGTAGTGGTACATGGGAAAAGATTTCAGTCAACTTACGTTTCTTTTTTTCGTCTCTTTTAAAATTCTTTATTTGAGTCTCAAACTTTCGTTTCTTGATAGCAGGAGTTGTTAGCAATTTTAATAAGATAAAATGAGACCAAGAGTGGTGGCTAACACCTGTAATCCCAGCACTTTGGGAGGCTGAGGCAGGAGGATCACTTGCGCCCAGGAGTTCAAGACCAGCCTGGGCAAAATGGCACAACCCCATTTCTATAAGAAATACAAATTAGCTGGGCATGATGGCAAGCAGCTGTGGTCTCAGCTACTTAGGGGGTGGGCGGGGGGGGGGGGGGGGGGGGGGGGGGGGGGGGGGGGGGGGGGGGGGGGGGGGGGGGGGGGGGCCCTGAGGTCAGAAGATTGCTTGAGTGTGGGCAGTGGAGGTTGCAGTAAGCAAAGAGTGTACCACTGCACTCCAGCCCGGGTGACAAGATCATATCTCCAAAAATAATAATTTTTAAAAATAAAGTAAAATGCCAAGATACTGCAAGAAGGGAATATCATATGTAGCTTCTCATAATTATCTCATCACTTCCAAGGACAATTTGGAAAAGGATGCTCCTTAACTGTACTTTTCCTAACATGGTAGCCACTATCTACCTGTAGCTACTTAAGTTTATGTTTTAATTAATTCAAATTTAAAATAGTTCCCCAGTCACAATAGCCACATATGAAGTATGCAGTAGTCACATGTGATTAGTGGTGAATAGTGGCTACTGTACTGGACACTGCAGACACTGAACATTTCCATCATCACAATATGGAAAAAATTCTATTGGATAGCATTGCTCTAGAAAGGTGGGGGTAGGGGAAACTACTTGTTTTTACAGATAAGATTTTTCTTTTCTTTTTTTTTTTTTTTTGAGATGGAGTCTCCCCCTGTGGCCCAGGCTGGAGTGCAATGGTGCAATCTCGGCTCACCGAAACCTCTGCCTCCTGGGTTCAAGCAATTCTCCTGCCTCAGCCTCCCGAGTAGCTGGGATTACAGGTACCCGCCACCAGACCTGGCTAATTTTTTGTATCTTTAGTAGAAATGGGGTTTCACCATATTGGCCAGGCTGGTCTCAAACTCCTCATCTCGTGATCCACCCACCACAGCCTCTCAAAGTGCTGGGATTACAAGGGTAAGCCACTTCACCTGGCCTAAACAAAATTTTAATCAGAACACAGCCACACCCATTTGTCTGTGGCCATAATAGCACTAAAAGGTCAGAGATGAGCAATTGTGACAAAAACTATTTGGCTTACAAAGTCTAAACTATTTACTTTTATAAGGACAGCTTCAATCTCAAGATTAATCCCGAAAAGCTAACTAAAGCTTACAGTAAAATCTTCAACTTATCAGAATAACTAAAAAATTACTTGTTTAGCTACTTATTATTTGATGATTTGTCCCTTTGTAGCTTAAAAAGTTCTATTTGATAAAGGAGATAGTCTTCCCATGGTGGTCATTTCTAAAGAAAGTAATAAAAGGTTATATTTGATAAAGAAGGAAATAGCAAAGGGGCAAATAATCATCTTGCCCCTCTCTTTGGAATTAAAGAGTCACCTTTCACTAATACAACACAAATCTACCATTCTATGTTCACTGGGCTTAAGCATAATGAAGTAATTACTTTCGCACTTTATCTTTATTTTTTTGCATCAAAGTCTTGTTCTGTCACCCAGACTGCAGTGCACTGGCATGATCACAGCTCACTGCTCCCTCAAACTCCTAGGCTCAAGTGATCCTGCCTCAGCCTCCCAGGCAGCTGGGACCACAGACATGCTCTGAGCCCCTCATTACATATTTTTCTACACTTTTTTTCCTAGAGTAACGAGGTCACACTATGGTGCCCAAGCTGGCCTTGAACTCCTAGGCTCAAGCAATCCACCCTCTTGTCTCCCAAAGTGCTGGAATTACAGGAATGAGCTAACATATCCAGTTTCCTGTTGTTTTTTTTTTTGTTTTGTTTTGTTTTTAATAAGATGAATACAAATACCCTTTGAAATAAAAAATTCCAAACTTCTCCAATATCTGCACTCAATCCAGTCAAACATAAAAGCAGAGAAGTACCAGGACACATACCTTCTCCATTACAATCAGAGCACACAGACTGCATCTGTTGTACCATTCCTGGAGCCAGCTGTCTGATCATGATGCGCACACCTCGACCTCGACAAGCACTACACTTCTGGACAGCTCCAGACTTTCCGCCTTGGCTAAAGCAAGCACAAAAATACATTAGGTTTTTGTCCATAGATCACTCCAATAAGCCCTGACACATAGAAACTGCTTTTACCTTCATCTTCAAACCCAATAACTTGTATTTAAATTGACTTTTAGAAGTATCAGAAACCGTCCTGCTAAGATTTATTTATTGAGATGGAGTACAGTGGTGTGATCTTGGTTCACAGCAACCTCTGCCTCCTCCTACCTCAAGTGATCCACTCACCTTGGCCTCCCAAAGTGCTGGGATTACAGGTGTAAGCCACTGCGCCTAGCTGTAAGTTTTAAATCATAATAATTTTTACCTGGTACAGACATTCAGTGTGATACTGGAAGAACAGACAAAATGTACCCAATAAACCGGAGGACACACTTACCCACTGCATGCACTACAGAGTACATTCTTGCTAAGTTGTAGTTTGGTTGTCTTGCCATTATACAGATCTTCTAATGATACTCTGGAAAGAAAAGAATTGGGTTCAACCAAATTTTGGCACATTTTGTTAAATACAAAATACAAATAAGAGCTGATACAGCAAATTCACCATTAACTTTTAAAACATAATGCAAAACACCTCATAATCTCACATTAAATCAATTCAACTAAAGTTTTATTTTATGGCTCAAATTAACAGAAATATTTTACGCCTACAGACAGTATATATATGATACTCAAAGCCAGAACCTACAGCATCAGGACAACAATTTGCTGTGGCGGAATTTCTGATAAAGCTGATGACTTCACAAACTCAAATATCAAAACCTTCTGTTCTCAGGCATAAGCCCTCCACCTAACTCCTAATAAAAACTCTTCAGAAGAGGTACAATTATTATTCCCATTTTATGTGATAAAGCTGAGGCATGGAATGGTTAAGAAACTTGCCCAAGATTACATAGGTGATTTACATAGGTATCTGGTTCCAGAGTCCCTGATTCCTCCATGGACAATTTCGAAAGGCTACAAACTTATATTTCAGCTTAAGGAAGTCACTGAGACGGCATATGTCTTTAAAAACATAAAAGTGGCCCTACTGTATGACAGAAAGGAATAGTTTTTCATGCCAGGTGCAGTGGCTCATGCCTATAATCTCAGCATTCTGGGAGACTGAGGAGGAAGGATTGCTTGAGCCCAGGAGTTCAAGACCAGCCTGAGCAACACAAGTAGACCTTGTCTTTACCAAAAAATAAAAAAACAATTAGCCAGCCATAGTGGCATGTCTAAAGTCCCAGCTACCCAAGAGGCTGAGGCAGGGGAATTGCTTGAGCCCAAGAGGTTGAGGCTGCAGTGAGCTGAGATCGCACCACTGTACTCCAGGCTGGGAGACAGAGTGAGACAAGTACTTATGTGTGGAGTTTTCTACTTGTGGCATCAGGTTGGTGCTCAAAAAGTTTCAGATTTTGGAGCATTTCAGATTTCAGATTAGGGATGGTCAGCCTGTTATATTCACTTTAAAATCCTCGGGGTTAAAGGAACAAAAAAATAGTTACAAGTATTTTACAAAGCATCTATACTATTTTGTGATATTCAAACTTTCTCAAAATTATTACTTTCAGAAACTTAAACTGTTGTAGGTAGGATAAGAATATCCCACGTATGGACAAAACATTACCAACGACACTGTCAAATAATGAATGACCTATCTACATCTGAGCCTTAGACAAAAATGCTTGTTGCATCTTTTATACTCTGTGTTAAGAACCTTTAACCAAATCATGTAAAGAAAATAGGTCTTTCTTCCCCTACATATTAAATTACAATTGGTATGCACAACCGCTATCCTCACTATCCTCAGCCAGAAAAAAATACACATTTCAACAAAGAAAGCCAAGGAAGGAAAAATGCAGGTAATGCTTTGGCAAGGTTGGCACTCTCCACTAGTGGGGCCTAAACTGGCACAATCCCTCTGCAAGGCAATTTAATTGTATTTATCAGTCTCAAAACACTCATGCCTGCCTGGGAATCCCTGCCAAGGAGAAACAAAGCTGTATATAAAGATACTCATAGCAGTGCTATTACAGAAAAAAAAAAGTGGTAATACCCTATATAAAAGGTAAATGGTTATATGATAGAATGCAGTATTATAAACATAGTATTTGTAACATGAAAATTTTAAACGTTAAGACAGCAGAAAACTATTTATTGTATAGCATGAAATTTTTTTAAACATGAAGAACTATAAGGTACAGAGAGCAATCTCTTGATCCTATTTGCTCTTTAGACCATTTTTATATTAAAGAAAAAATAAGGAAATTAATCCACACTACACAAATATTACCAATGATATCCAAACGTTAATTTCTGAGAGTAAATTCTTTCAAATTTAAGGATTCAATGAGACTCAAGTTAACTGATAATATGACTGTCTCTAATTTATTCAAATATATAAACTAGGGTATTATGAAATAGTTTAAATAAGTACTTGAACTTCAGTCACTGGCATTTGCTAATAAAATCATTTATCGGTCCATGAAAAAAAAGGACAGGAGAAAAAGACCTCCCAGATTTTGCAAAGTGAAACAGTTATTTTCACATTGGAGAGGGCTTTTGGATTCACAGTCTAAGATCAAGGTCAGGCACCATTCATGTGTTGGCAGGTTAATGTCAGGCTGGAAGCCAGCAAGCACCATGGAAACCAACTTAGGAGAGTTCACATTGAGGATCAAGTAATGAGTGACTCTAACGTGTACACAAAGTAGGCAGACAGTCACTCATTTTTAGTTTCTAAATAAAAGGTAACTTGGAATATTCATATACCTCAAAGAAAATAGGCTGGGTGGAGTGGCTCATGCCTGTAATTCCTGCACTTTGGGAGGCCAAAGTGAGCAGATCACCTGAGGTCAGGATTTCAAGACCAGCCTGGCCAACATGGCAAAACCCCATCTCTACTAAAAATTACAAAATCAGCTGGGTGTGGTGACAGGTGCCTATAATCCCAGCTATTTGAGAGGCTGAGGCAGGAGAAGTGCTTGAACCTGGGAGGTGGAAGTTGCAGTGAGTCAAGATCACGCCACTGCACTCCAGCCTGAGTGACAGAGTGAGATTCCCTTTAAAAAAAAGATCTTCTTAGCCAGGCACAGTGGCGCACGCCTGTAATCCTAGCACTTTGGGAGGCTGAGGCGGATGGATCACAAGGTCAAGAGATCGAGACCATCCTGGTCAACATGGTGAAACCCCGTCTCTACTAAAAATACAAAACATTAGCTGGGCATGGTGGCGCGTGCCTGTAATCCCAGCTACTCAGGAGGCTGAGGCAGGAGAATTGCCTGAACCCAGGAGGTGGAGGTTGCAGTGAGCCGAGATCATGCCATTGTGCTCCAGCCTGCGTAACAAGAGTGAAACTCCGTCAAAAAAAAAAAAAAAAAAAAGATCTTCACACTTGAAATTTTAAGTCCTATAATAACAAGCAGCCTCAGAACCATATAAAACCACCTTCCTACTCATTAAAAAACATCAACCATCCTTTTAAGAGCTGTAGCAAAATAGAAGCATTCAGATAATCAAATTCAATTTAGTCACCAAAAGAAAACAAGACAGCTGGGCACGGGGGCTCACACCTGTAATCCCAGTAGTTTGGGAGGCCAAGGCGGGTGGATCACGAGGTCAGGAGATTGAGATCATCCTGGCTAACAAGGTGAAATCCGTCTCCACTAAAAATACAAAAAATGAGCTGGGCGTGGTGGCACGCGCCTGTAGTCCCAATTACTCGGGAGGCTGAGGCTGGAGAATCGCTTGAACCCGGGAGCAGAGGTTGCAGTGAGCCAAGATTGCACCACTGCACTCCAGCCTGGGCAACAGAGCGAGATGTCTTTAAAAAAAAAAAAAAAAAAAAAAAAAAAAGACAAGGCAAATGGAAGTTTTTCTAATGAAGGACAGAACATTCTGAGACTTTTTTCTTCTACTGAGTCATTATCCCACTTGACAAAAAGTACTTAATTTTTTAAAACAAGAAAAGAAGATATTCACTTGAGTGGATGCATCATGTCCTCTCCTCTTCTTCTGCCATTTCGACTTCTACTCTGATTGCCCATGAAGCCGAACAATCCCCCACCAAAAATGTGAGAGAAAATATCATCCATGCCACCACCTCCACCGCTGCCTTCCCGAAGACCTTGCTCTCCGTATCTGTCATATAACTCACGCTTCTCAGGATTTGATAGTACTTCATATGCAAAACTTATTTCTTTAAACTATAAAGAAAAAAATAAAAATAAATGCATTTTCAAGTAGAAGAGTGGGGAGAGGCTACAGGAATCAATAATTCATTTAATTCTAATAAAAGGGACAAGTTACCTTTGACTTGATTATGGTTCTATTTACCACCCACCACTCCTTAGAATGCTAGTACTCTTATTCTAAAACTAAAATACTCTTGACATTATGAAAATGTGGCTATGTGGGCACAGGTGGATTTTTTTTCTTGCAACATTCCCTTTTTCAAGGAGGGCAATTTAAGTTAAACTAAAACCCCCCAGAATAAAAAAGTTGCAAATAACTTACTTTGTCTCCTGCATTTGGATTCTTATCAGGATGGTATTCCTTGGCTAACTTTCTGTATGCCTTTGAAAATGGATAAAAACAAAAAAGGTTATAACTAAACACCAGTTTAAAGTCTTGTGATAACTTAATATCCGCTTTTCTGAGAATGAATGTTCTAAAGTCCTAATCTTCCAAAAACATTTTCTATTCGATACTGTTTACTTGGCACTTTCTTTCGATACTGTTTACTCACTAACGTAATATAACAAAGTAGACAGCTATACTTGAAAATACATTACAGTGAAGTGAAAACTAGACGAAGCAATGAAGCAATGCCACAGGGAAAAACAAAAAGCTAAATCCATATTTTCTCTATTGTCAAGTGTCTTCGATGGCCAAGTAACCAGAGCAAGACGATCCTAATAAATTCGAGATAAATGACCGTTAAGCTTTACGGACTACATTACTATAAATCAAGCTAAAGTAACAATTCCTGCTCACGATGGCTCATCAGGAAAAAGCCAAGGTGGTACTAAGTAGTGTCGTTAGGTGTTTTATTTCCAGGTGGTGTTTAACTGGGGTTTACAGTGACTTCGGTAGTGGTAAAGTTGCACACACTCTCAATGAGGTGTTTGGGTCCTACAGCCTACAAATCTTCATTCACTGAGGCTCGTGAATTATATAATACAGACTAGCATTTCCGGTAAGGTAACAGGAAGTCCACTGTACTCGTTTCACTGCCTGAGGAGCATTCTCATTTTTCTCGGCTTACAAATCCGGATGCTCTTAGCCTGGTGAGGATGCTGTGGAGCTTAATTAAATGTCTCGTGTGCTTTGAAATCCTGAGATGAAAGATATCGCAGCATTGCAAACAGTGATAATACGGCCTTCTATTTATGTTTACAGTACACTCAGGCGTCTGGCTGGGACCACAGTTTATTCCTAAGTAGGTACAGGACATTAGTATGACCTGCCCACAGAACAATGCATCCAAACACAGATCCACGCTACCTCCGCGTCAACAGGCGAGGAAGGAAGAGAGGGAGGAGCTCCCGCAGCCGGCGGCCGCGGTACCCAGGAAACATCCCCACCTGCCCGAGGCGCCCGGCGGGGGCGGCCTCGACCTCCCCGCCACCCCGTCCCGCGGAGCCCCAGACCCGGAGCCGACGGCGGCGGCGCGGACAGCTTCCCCCCCAGGGACCGGGATGCGCTGAACGCCTCGGTCCAACCTGTTTGTCCGGGTGGTGACCTCGACGCGGAGGGCCGAACGGGCTGCTGCCTCCTGGGGGAGCCCGGGCCCAGCGCTCGCCCGAGGAGGGAGGAAGGAAGGACTCCTGTCGGGTTTGCGCAGGAGTGAGTTTTATCTGCTGCATCTGCGGGCGGGCGGGGCCGGCGGCCCAAGGTCAGCCGAGGCCGGAGTGCGCGGCTCGCGGCGAGTCCGGTCTCGCCGCCGCCGATCCCCAGCGTGGGCCAGTCACTGCCAGCACCGGCTCGCGGGCCGCCCAGTAGCGCGGCCTGGCTGAAGATATCCCCTGCCGCGCAGGCCCCGCGCCCCTCACACCCGCCCGGCCGGCCCGCTCCCGGATACCTTCTTCAGCTCGTTCTCGCTGGCGCCGGGCGGGACGCCCAGGATGTCGTACAGCTTCGTGTCAGCCACATTCGCCATGGCGGCCGGTCGGGCAGCGCTCAAGGAGAAGGTGGCGGAGCAGACGGAGCGGAGCCTGGCCCACAAGCAGCGTCGGCGGCGGCGCAGGCCGAGAGAGACAGCGCGGGGGAAGCGGGGGCGGGGCTGAACTTTGACCCGGCGCACGGTGCGCCGTGACGTCGCTGCCTGGAACCCGCCCCCGAGCCTCGGGGGCACGGCCATTGGGGTCCTGGTGGTGAATAGCGGGCCGCGTGCTCGTTTTCTCCTTCGGTCCAGGCTTCCAGCAGGGCAGACGTAGAAAATTAACTCTGTACGACGCACTTCAGGAATTCAACTTCCTCCCAAAGGCCATGATTGCGAGGTCGTGTGTTCAATTCGGCACTAGGCGCTGAGGGGATTAACAGGCCTGCGTCGCAGCTTCGTTAGCTTCGAGTCCATCGAGAAAGAAAATGGGCCCCGGCTCCCATAGGAGGCTCGCCCGGCACGCAGAGGTCGTTCTCAGAATCGGGGTCGCCGGTGAACCCCCTGGGTCCGGCTCCCTCGGGGCTTATGATGAAGAAAGCTGGGGGTCGTGTGGGTGTGTTTGTATGTTGTGTTTTATATTATGGGAATTCTGAAACATTCAGCAAAAGCAGTATATTATGCCCCATAGTGCCGTTAACTACATTTTACCAATTTTGTTTCGTTCGCCCCCCCCATACATCTCATCTTTAGTGTTTTTTATTTTTTTTTATTTTTAATTTTTTTTTTTTTTTCTTAAAGCAGGCAGAAAAATCATCTCTAGTGTTTTAAGGGAAACCATTTCATTCATAAATACCCTAAGTGTATACATTTAATATCTAAGAGGTGACTTTTAAAGGCAAAACAACATCTCATCTAATGAAATTAACAATTCCTTAATGTAATTCCGAGGCCATATTTAGGTTTTTCTAATGATCTCATGTCCTTTTACAATTGGTTTGTGGCATCCAGGTCCAAACCAAGGTCCACATGTTGCATCTGGACCACGTGTTTAAGCTTCTTGATAGTTTTAAAATTAACTGACACCAGAGGTTTAGGTGGTGTAAGGCAAGTCTGGACACCAGGTGACTTGATTTACATTTGCTTTAGTTTCACTGAGAAAAAGTATGCTGTGCATCTACCACGTGCTATGATGTACAGAGACCTGGTCCGGGAAGAGGAGTGTTAAAAAAGTGCTTGCCTTCAACCGATTTACGGCTTATGGAGACAGAAAAGTAAGATTTTCTGATCCCTTGGAACCTGAAGTGATAGCAAAGACTTCAGCATAAGCTTCTCACTCAGGATAATGTTTCTTCCTTGGTGTTCCCCTTGACCTAGTTGTGAAAGGCCTGAATGCCATGCCAAGGACTTTGAAATTTAGCCTGAAAACCCTGTGGAGAAGTCAGCAAGAAGTCATTAATAGTCCTTAAACCCTTTTCCTTAAATCCCATCTGAAATCCTGTGCCCTCTGTGAAGTCTTCCTTGACTGGACACTGGTGAACACTGCTGTCTCATTTGAGTTCCCACCACCCTTGGTTTGTACCTTTTGTGGTACAAAAAATGTGCAACATTGTGGTAGGATCTTGAACTCCTTTTTTTCTTTTTGAGACAGTCTTGCTCTGTCACCTAGGCTAGAGTGCAGTGGCTTGATCCCGGCTCACTGCAACCTCCACCTCCTGGATTCAAGTGATTCTCCCACCTCAGCCTCCCCAGTAGCTGGGATTACAGGCACCCACCACCATGCCCAGCTAATTTTTGTATTTTTAATAGAGGCAGGTTTTCACCATGTTGACCAGGCAGGTCTCCAACTCCTGACCTCAAATGATCCACCCACCTTGGCCTCTCAAAATGCTGGGATTACAGGCCTAAGCCATCGCCTCTTGGCTGGTGTTGCTGTGTAAATGCTGATGTCATCCTTCTCTTAAGCATGGCTGTGAAATCCAGTTCTTTACTTTTCGCATTTTGAGATGTTCATAAGAGAGTGAGTTAAGTTATGGTGATGTTAGATTGTGTGGGTCGGTAGTCTGACTCTGCCATTTAGGAACAATGTGACCATCGGCAAGTTACATAACTTTTCTGAGGCTGCTTCCTCAGGTGTAAGATTGGGCTTATTATTTTTTACATCATTGGTTTAAAAGAGTTAATACATTATGATTACTTAGGTCTGGGTGCAGTGGCTCATACTTGTAATCCCAGGGCTTCGGGAGGCTGAGGCAGATGGATTGCTTGAGGTCAGGAGTTGGAGACCAACCTGGCCAACATGGTGAGACTTATCTCTACAAAAAATACAAAAATTAGTCGGGGATGGTGGCACATGCCTATAGTCTCAGCTACTCAGGAGGCTGAGGTGGAAGAATCCCCTGAGCTCGGAAGGTGGAGGTTGCAGTGAGCCAAGATCATACTACCGCACTCCAGCTTTGGTGACAGAGTGAGGCCCTGTCTCAAAACAATAATAAATAATTTTAAAAATTACTTAGAAGCTAAAACCAATTAAGTATTAACTATTGTTTTTGGCCCATTTGCTTACATTGTCTTTGCTCATTTAAATTTCTGGCTTTTCTACTGGGATTCCCTGACTTCCTCCATTACCTATGTGGAATGCCCTCCGTCCCTTTTCATGGCCTCATCTTCCCAGATCTCCATGCTTGTCAGTTATTATTTTCTCTCATCTCATTTCTCTGTTAGTTCCTGCTCCACGTGAGAATATGAACTGAAAACCTGTCTTTATTGCAACCTTCATATTAATTTATTTTTAAATCTTACTTTCCTTCTGCCCATGAACAGTTTAAAAGAGCTGGAGTTTCCTATTTGTTTCAGTTTTACTCAGTTTTTTTTTTTTTTTTTGCATGGGGAAAAATTCTCACTTGATTCCATTTTAGCTTCTGATATTGTAACAGAGTAGCTGGGTAAATTCCCTCTTTTGTTCTCATTTTTTTTTACTTGACTAGATCAGAAACCACAGTAACTATTTTTGAATTTTATTTTCATTTATTTGCAATTTTTTCCCCATTTCTGAGTATTAATTGTAGTCAGCATTATTTGCTAATTTTATAGCTTGAGTTATTTCAGAACAGTTTTGGGTGCTTAAACTGACACAGGCTCTCCCAAGAATCACAGACTGAGATAAACCTGTGTTAGTGTGAGCACTGTGTTTCAGCCACTAACTGTGTTTTGAGATAGCTTATTTACTTTAGCTTATATTTAGCCAATGCTAAGAAGGGAAAAGGACCTTTATCTCATTTCATGTCTCAGTCACTATAAAATGCTGAGTCACAGTGCACCTGACTGCTGCAATGATCTAAAGTTTGAGGCGGCAGTGATTTCAGATTTCTGCCAGGCTTATATCCGTGTTCAATTCCTTTACTTTGATTTGGTATTCTTGTGTAACTGTGAGGGGTTGGGGTGGGCAGGAAATGGATATGAACTAGAGAGGGGGTATAGGATCTGTAGTATTTTTGAAGGCCATTCATACTGTTCACAGGTAATTGAGAACTGTGTAATCCATTACTTAGACAACCCCAGATATATCATTCAGGCAGTTCAGAAATTAGTTTTACTTTCTGCCTTTAACTGATTTTGAATGTATAGAGTAAGTGATGCAGCTTAAAATATTTTGGGGGATATAGAAGAAGGTGCTGATGGTTCTTGTTATGAGGGTGTCAGGACCACATAATTTGATGATTGTTGGTCCTCTGGGAAGAAACAATTGTGGGCCTTGGATCACTGAATAATCTCTGAATTTCTTTCGGTGCTTAGAGCAGATTATGCAGTGATGGGGCAGCACAGTTATATGTGGAGTTTTTTTTTTTGTTTTTTTTGAGACAGAATCTCACTCTGTCGGTCAGGTTGGAGTGCAGTGGTGCAATCTCAGCTCACTGTAACCTCCCCGCCTCCTGGGTTCAAGCAGTTCTGCCTCAGCATCCCGAGTAGCTGGGACTGCAGGCGCCTGCCACCATGCCCGGCTAATTTTTTTTGTATTTTTAGTAGAAACAGGGTTTCACCATGTTGGCCAGGCTGGTCTTGAACTCCTGATCTTATGATCCACCTGCCTCAGCCTCCCAAAGTGCTGGGATTGCAGGTGTAAGCCACTGCGCCTGGCCTGTATGTAGTATTTCTAGCCCCACTGCTGTCGTTTCAAACCGTGTCATGTGAAACCCTGCCTTATTAATTAGCATTTTCTAAAGGTTCAGTTTGCTTATATAATTGCAGTGGTGTAGTAAGCAGAGAAATTGCCTCAGTAAATTTAGCCATATAACAATTAGTGTGGGGAAAAATAGTGGAGAAGATATGTCCTTTGTGATAATATGAATATGAATTATACTATATTCTCCACATATGTATGTATATATACACACACATCTCATCACTATAAATACATATTTATAGTGATAAATGCTTTTTCCACAGTTCCTGGTTCATAACTTCCATAGCTGTTATTTTTCTCCAAGACAGGCCACAGAAACCAAAATATACTCTAATATTATCTTTCTGTCTTGGAGCTGGCCATAAAGAAATTCAATTTGCCTGGACAACATAGCAAGACCCATCTCTACAAAAATTTTTTAAAATTAGCTGGGGCTGGGGAGTGGTGGCTCACACCTGTAATCCCAGTACTTGGAGAGGCCAGGGTGGGAGGATCACTTGAAGCTATGTTGCAGATCTTGTTTTTGTTTTTTTGTTTTGAGGCAGAGTCTCACTCTGTTGCCCAGATTGGAGTGCAGTGGCAAGATCTTGGCTCACGGCAGTCTCTGCCTCCCAGGTTAAATTCTCCTGCCTCAGCCTCCCGTGTAGTTGAAACTATAGGCGTGCACCACCATGCTCGGCAAATTTTTGCATTTCTAGTAGAGATAGAGTTTCACTATGTTGGCCAGGCTGGTCTCCTGACCTCAAGTGATCTACCCGCCTCCCCCTCCCAAAGTGCTGGGATTACAAGGGTGAGTCACCTGCCCAGCCTGAGATCTTAGAAGAAGAAAGAAAAAATTAGATGGGTGTTGTGGTGTGCACCTGTTATCCTAGCTATTTCAGAGGCTGAGGCTGGAGGATTGCTTGAGCCCAGGAGTTCAAAGTTACACTGAGCTATGATTGTGCCACTGCCCTCCATCCTGGGTGACAAGAGTGAGGCCCTATCTTTAAAAAAAAATTTTGATTAAGAAGAGAAGAAATTCTCTGACCTGGCTTGTCTGACTGTAGGTCATGAGACTCCCATTTCTGAAGGTGTCTTACCCCATATCCTCAAG